CCTGGGCCTATGGACTGTATTTGTCGCTCCGCCCTGCTCGAGGGCCCAGACTTACCTACGGTGCTTTGGTGCTGGCCGGATGTCAGGCTGGATCTTTTAAAGGGGCAGGACTAGAACTATTGCCCTGCCCAGAACTGTGAGCTGATAGACTTGCGTATATGGTGAACTTCTTCCCCTGCGGCCCGGACCTGAAGCAAGACCGGGCACGCGAACTATTGCCTCTCACCCCGACCTGAAGCAAGGCCGGTTATAGACTCACTGACTTGGACTATTTTAAGGCATGGTAGTGCAGTGGGGGCGGACCGGCAGCCCACTGCAACAACCAACCAGCCCCCCCCAGGGGGGGGAAGGGGGGAAGCGTAGAGGCTGTTGTGGGCACTGCCGGAGGGCAGTGTCCCGAAAAGGATCCCGCCACCTGCCGTCTGAGCTAATTCCCAGCACCGATGGCTGGTGGCGCTGTGGCGGTGCGTGTACCCCGCTACAACCAGTCATCCACAAGATCTTTCTCAAGATCTGTGGGACAATACCGGGTAATTCTATTAGCATCAGCATGGCCTTGCCATCATTGGTACACTGCATTCCTGGAGCTACCAGGAGGCACTCCAATAGCATTGGGTTAGAGCTGGGGGTGTCTGGCTCTGCGGGAGGGGGAAGGGCATTGGATTTGGGGGGGCTGGAAGTGCCTGGCTCTGGAGGAGGGGTGGGTGCATTTGGTTAGAGAGGGGGCCTGGGGGTACTTTACTTTATAAAAAGATGGAGAAACACTGCTATAGGAGACCCCAATGAGGGGCAATGTGAACTAGGACATGAATCCTGGGGACCCTTACAAGCAATTAGTTGTGTCTGCCCAGCCCTGTGGAGAGTCAGCGCCTCCAGAACCTCTCCTGCACTTTTGCTGGTCACTTGATGGCACTGAGAGCCTACGATAGGTTAAAGAAGAACTTTTACTGGCCAGGGACACAGACCTACGTGGGAGACTATTGTAGATTCTGTGACTCAAAAAAGAAAAAAGCCTGCAGGACTCAAAGTCCTTGTGCACCTCTTGCCTGGGATGCAGAAATTATTTTATAGGGTAGAAATGGACACTGTGGACCCTATGTCACATCCTACCCACTGGATAAAAAATAGGAGCTGTGAGTTTTTCTGAAGGAGCTGCTGTAACTAACAGAGACTAACTCTCTGACAAAGCCGATTTCACTATTTTTAGCAGAGGGAGATTTTATCAGATTGGGAGTCAAATTCTATGTCCCAGCTGCTCAGTGAGTTATGGACATTTTGTGGAGCACTGAGACAAGTGCTTGGTTGGGACACTGCAATCAATGTTGGGAATGTATGCGAAGGAGAGCAAGTGCTGGATATGAAATGTCACCCTCTTCGCTCATAGGGTGGCTCTCTAGGACTGGATTGCAGCACAAAGGATCTTCCCAGGAAAAGTCAGAGGGTTCTTTAGTAAGGGGACTGCACAAGTGTTTCGTACTTTCATTTGTGTGTAACTATTTGTCCTTATCCCTTGTATTTTCCCTCATTTTAAACCTGTCTCCTTTGTTTTTCATCTAAACCAATCCAGCTTTTTTTAATTGGCGTGATTGTTAACTCAAGTGAAGGCAACAAGCTGCTATGCTTGTATCTCTTTAAGGGACCCACAAACCTTAGTCCAGCAAAGGACTGCACATTTCAGGGCCGTGGTTTGGGTGAAATTGAGAACGGGGTGTGTGTTGATGTCGGTTGGTGAGTGGTACTCTAGGCTGATGGAGATTAGCATGTGTCTGTAGTAAACAGGCAGGCTGCCGCACTGCTCAGCACATTAGCAGTGCATGCGTGGGTGCTGGCGAGTAGCTTTAGCAGCAGAGCAGGTGAAGGCACTCGGGGTACAGAGCAAGCAGGGACCCCACCTCTCACTGCTCTGCATTGCACTCCAAAAGGTGTCCCCTGCCACAACATGGTTCTCTGATTCCCTGCAGTATCGTCTGCCTCACGGGTGCGAGCTGGGTGGAGAGGTCTGGTCACGTCGCTGTGGAAGTACCTGGAGGAGGACATGGACTTTCTGGACACACCTTTGCCTATCAGGTAACATCTCAGTTCAAACCTCTCTCACGTGGCTCCTACAGACCCCACAACTGCATTTCTGTGCTGTCTCCATAGCATCTTGTGGAGAGGGGGCACAGTGTAGGGCGGGGGGGGAACCATTTTTGGGTTGGGGCTGCTGAGCCACAGAAAAATCAGTCGGGGGCTGTACACAAGTGAGAAGCGACGGGGGAGGGCTGGAGCCAGTGTAGGCTCTCCAATGCTGGGGGGGGGGGGTGAGT